AGTTATTTTCACTCTGATTTTTCTATCGCTACAGGCAGTTAAGTGGTCCCGATGAAGAGCGGGTTGATGTGGAAGCCAGAGCGTGGAGTCTAGGAGCAGATGTTTCCTCCCCCTGCCCTCCAGACCCAGCTTTATCTTCCTTTCTGCTTCTTCACACCTTGCAAGGCTCAGGAGGCTTAACTCAAGCAGGAGAAAAATGCCTGAGGATTTTCGTTGCTTATGTGCTTAGAATTATGGAATCATTAGGGTTGGGAAAGCCTTACTCCTTTGGGTTGGAGTGGATGGCGTGGATGAAAGCGAAGCTGCAGCTCGATGAATGAGCCCAGCAGCGACGGAGCAGACCTGCAAGCCCCATAGGAGAGACCGTCCGGTGGACGGGCAGCCTTCTGCAGAGCAGAAACCAAAGGCAAGAGCTGATCCAGCATGGGTGGGATTGCTTCATAGGCAACGGAGAGGTGGGGGATGCAGCTGTGAATGATGCTGGTAGCTGAAGTCTAAGACTTTTCGGAGGGGAAGAAAAAAAAAAAAAAGGAAAAGCATATTGCACAGCTGTTGGCCTAAATCGAGGGGAATTGCGCAAGGCTGAGCTGGGAGGGCTGCTGTGCATGAGCCGTGAGAGTTAACTCTTTCTGGGCTTGGTCTCTCCTCTTGCTGTGAGGGCAGAAATCCCCAGCAGCATTTTCACAGAATCATTGAGTCATTAAGGTTGGAAAAGACCTCAAGGATCATCAAGCCCAACCATCAACCCAACCCCACCCAACCCACTAACCCATGTCCCGAAGCACCACATCGACACGTTTCTTGACCCCCTCCAGGGATGGTGGCTCCACCACTTCCCATTTTCCCCTTCGAGGGGCTTTTGTGTGGTTTTCTCCCTGCTTCCACAAGCTCAGCCTGAGCAAACCATGTCCCATCAGCTTTGGCCTCTATTTCCCTACCCATAATTTGGGGTGCAATCAACCTGGTTTTATTTCCTAGAGGTAGTGTTGCTCTTTGAATGAGTGCATGGCTCCTGAAATATGGTTGAAGGCTCTGCTTTCTGGTGGATACCCGAGGTAGGAGCTCGGCAGGTGGGTGTTCAGCTTCTGGGTTGGTTGGAGATAACCTGCTTTGTGATCCTCAGATACCAGAGAGGGTGATTTTTTTAAAAAGTCTGCTCTAGCTATTAAGTTTTTGTTTGCCTCTGGTTTTTAGATGGAGTCTGTTTTCACCATCAGCCCAGCTGCTCCACACGTTGGCGTTGGAAGATAAAATACTGTGTTTGCATTATTGAATACTCCCAGTGTAACAAAACCTCTGCGATGAGAGGAAACCGTTCAAATCTGCAGAGAGTTACTGGGAGAAAGCTCCTAGTGGTCCCTTCTCCTTGAGAAACCCACAGTATAGTTATTTTTATTTTCTTTGTTCTTTAATTTTCCAATATCAAGCTGAGGTCTACAGCCATTGGGATTCTTCTCGGGCGTTTTGCTGTTTGTTCAGACTCGGTGCAAACCCTTGAGCTGCTGGATCAATCGTTCTCTGCTCTAACCCTACTGTGAGCTGAAAGGGGAATGGATGCGGGTTGGTTTTGCTCTCAGACAGATCATGAAAATGTCACAGAGTGCCGGTCTGCTATAGCTATCTGAGGATGGAAATACCCTCGAGGGGATGAAATGATGGCTTAGTTCTTGCTAGTTTCCTCACTTTTTTTTTTTCTTCCTTGGCAAATACAGGCAAAAAAAATAAAAAAAAAAAGAAAAAAGAGTCCCAAGTCAGAGCAGGATTTCTTTTTGTGTGTGTTTCAGCATCTCGAGGGGAAGAGAGATGTGTTGTGGGACCTTTGTACCAGCGCCTGCTGGTTTTTTTTTCAAGTCCAAGAGCAAGCCGTTCAAATTTGCACCCTAATCTCTGCTGCTGTGAAATGACCAGCAAGGACAAGCCAGTCCAGCCAGTCAATGGAAGAGCCATGCCCAAACACCCAGCCTGGGGGTGGGAAACGCGGGCGTCTGGAGCCCTAGATGGGGTCACGGGTACCGCACCAGGTCAGGGCACCCCAGGACCTTTTACTGGGACCCCAGCATCCCCAGTCCTGCAGTGGCCAGAGCTCTCCTGGAAACAGATGTCACAACCTGGTTTTATTTGCTAAGCTGCCAAACTAGTTGCAAAAATACCAGGCAAATCATCAGGTCCCTAGCAGCGCTCCCAAGCTTTCCTTTTTCCAAGAGTTTTTATTTTCTTGCACCTTTGTGACTTCTCTCTCCCTTTCTCTGACTCGGTGGGCTGGTTCCTTTCTTTGATATCATCAATCACAGCGAGGGATTCTCAAATCCATCCAGGGTTTTTGAAGATTAAAATATACCCTCTGGAAGTCTGTAAGATACAGATGCTCAGAAGCTGCAGAGGAGAATTGCTGCACGTTGCCCTGCTCGGATGCTCTTCCCACAGCATCTGTTATTGGCAGCTGGTGTCTCTGGTTTTGTACAACACAGCTCCTGCTAGGTTGGTAGAATGGAAAGGAGAAAAAAAATAACCTAAATGTGCTTGATGAGAATGGGAGTGCTTTAGAGCCAGAGGTCTGGCTGATATTCCCTGCTGCAGGAGGGATCATCATCTGGAGGTCAGGGTTGGGGCCCCAGGACACTTGGATGCGATTTTTTTTCCGCCCTCGTGGCCTTTGGAGAAGCAATTTGCTCTCTCAGCGCCTTATTTCTCAATCTGCAACAGGAGGCTGAGAAGGTTTTCTCCCATCCTTTGAGCGCTCTGTTTGCCTTGGAGGCTTTTCAGGCTTGTCGCCGCCTTCCACCTCTGCGAAGAGCTCTGGAGGTGCAGGAGCGAGGATAGCGATGGGTTAGGGGTGACTGATAGGGGCGACGTGGGAATAACGGTTCTGCGGCGGTGGAAGCAGCAGGCAGATGTTGCACAGCTGGAATGGCACTTTGCATGGTTCAGGTGGGGATACTCAGGCTGCTTCCTCCCTAAACACATCCTGAGCATGGTCCTCAATGTGAAATCCCACTTTGTTCCGAACGCCCCAATTCCAGCAGGATGGATGTGGGTGTCCAGCGAAAGCCGGGGATGGATTTTAGCACGTTGCTGGTGTCGGGTCTAGTCAGGGAAAATGTTCCATGTTAGTTCTTTTAATGTGCAGCAGGGCTGACACTGACGTAACTACGTCTTGTAAACTTACTTAGGGCTTTCGATAGGGTGGATATATCCTGCAGCACAGATGGAAAAACTCCCTTGGGCTGTCTCACCCACTTTCTCAGCTGTCAGTGCAGATTTCCTCCTCGGTTACTATCTTTTCATGTGCTTTTCCAGTGCCATTTTAAGCTTTGGCTCGCTGTTAATCCTTTTAATAGGCTTTTATGAAAATCCCTTTTAGATCTCCAGCAGTCAAAACTATTTCCAAATGGATGTAGGGCTTCGATTGCCTCTTGTTTCCTGGTGAAGAAACCAAGGGAAGGTTAGAAGGAGCAGAGAAACAAGGTGGTCTCTTGGGCAGCTCAGGCTTATAGGTCCAGGTAAACGCGCTTTCTCCATCGAGCGGAGAGCTGGAAACACTTCATAACCTGCACCAGGGGAGAAGTGAGCTGCAGGCTTTGGAAACCAGCCTGGGGAGGCTGCAGTGCACAAAGGCTCTGCTGCTTTTCTGACAGCACGGTCAAAAGCTTTGCGATATTTTAAGAGAATCTGCCAAATTCAGGAGAAATTGGTATTGCAAATTGATTCCCACGCGCAGGAGGTGTAAAACTTTGCTCTTGCAGCAGACCCTTTGTCTGAACACCTTAAAGTGTCTCAGATAGAAGAAACTTGGATATTGTGGTTTTTTTTTTTTTTTTTTTCTTCTGGAGGGCTACAAGAGCTTTCCAAACCGAAGCCCGATTTGCACAAGGAGGTTTCTGGTTGCCCGGGGTCTGTGAGTTGCATCAGTGGCGGTGAAGCACCTGGAGCACGGATGCACCACGTGGGGTTTGCAGGGCTCTGCACGTCCTGCTGTGATCCCTGCTTCCATACCTGCGTGTGCCGTGGATCCCTGAGCAGAGACCTGTGTCTCTTTAAAGCTCTGGGCATTTTTTCTTTGCCAAGCGATTGAATTTGAGCGAGGGGAGGGGAGGATTCCTCAGCTCTGATGTAACTGTTAGCAGAACCACGTGGTTTAATGCAATTTTTTTTTTTCATTTTTTTTGACAAGAAAAGGTTTCCTGGAATCAAGTTATAAAATTTTCAGTAGCTCGTTTGTAATTGCTTGCCACAGCGGATATTTTCCAGTCGGCCTTTGCTTCGGGTCCCTGCAAGGTTTGTTTGTGCAGCGTCCTCACGTAGGCTCCAAATGTGAAATCCATCCGACCTTCATGACTCATTTGCTGTCCCAAGGAATGCTTCAGCTGGAGGAGAAACCCAGCTTGAGGAAACGCTGAAATACCGGTGTCAGCACACTGGGATCCCAGCTTCCCCAGTGCCTGCCCGGGCTGGGTGGGGAAGGGATGCTCAGGGGCTTGATGGGAAGCCCAGCATCCTTCCCTGCCAGGGCTCCCAGTTCCCACTAAGGTGACCCTAACTGGGCTGAGCTCAGCTTGCTTCCGAAGTAGTTGAGACTAAATTAAGGTCACTGTGCTTCTGAAACAAGCACTTCGATGAATTTAAGTAGCAAAAGGAGATTTCTTACATGGCCATTTGTAAAATAATGAGGTGTTTGTTTTTTTGTTGATTTTTTTTTTTTTTAAATGAGAAAAAGCATCTTCTTTGGCAGGATGGAGGAGGGATTTGCACAAGGTGGAAAGGTTTGTTTGCTTCCCTCTTGTGTCTTTTCCTCCCCTCCTGCCTCCATCTCTTAGGTGGTAGTTGGTGGTGTGGGCTGATGGTTGGACTTGATGATCCTTGAGGTCTCTTCCAACCCTAATGATTTCTATTCTATCTTCAGCCATAACCCAGAGCAGAGCTGGTTTCTGTTCCCCACCTCGAAGCTACACACCCAGTCTCCTCGCAAGCCAGCATCACTCGTGTTTCTTTTACCCTTGCAGAACATGAACATCCAGGTGGAGGACATCCGGATCCGTGCCATCCTCGCCACCTACCGCAAGCGGGTGCCCGTCACGGAGGGTTACGTGGAGGTGAAGGACGAAGGGACCTGGAAGCAGATCTGCGACAAGCACTGGACCATGAAAAATTCCCGAGTCGTCTGTGGCATGTTTGGATTTCCGAGCGAGAGGAAATACAACGCCAACGTCTACAAGTAAGAGCAGAGCTTTGTACGAGACGCAAGCGCGTTTCTTTGAACACTCGGGGCCTTGTTCAAAAATGAAAATTGGCAAATGACACGGGGAGACCCGGAGGTAGAAAAACCTCCGACTGCTTCATTCCTTCAGGTCGGATTTTTTCCTTCTGTGTAAATATTTGAAATGTCAAGCATTTCCTTGTGCAGACAGGGGAGTCGTTTGATCCTCACCGTTCTGGCTGACGACCTGGTGCGGTATCGGTTGTAGGATTTGATCGGTCCTATAGTAAGAGATGTGGACAGGCAGCCCAAGAAATTTTTTTTTTTTTTTTTTTCCCAGCTATAGAATAGCCATTTCCTCCACCGGTGATAGGTTCTGTTGTGTCCAGGGGGTGGATGGATGGATGTGAACAAACTGATGATACTCTCCCAGTAAACCCATCAGCTCTGAGCCAGTCTGACCGCTTACCCCATCCCTCTGCAGAAAGCCAGCTGTAGAGCTGGTATGTGCCAAAGCTCCAACCGAGTGATCTTGGAATAAACCAGGTCTTTGTGCTTCATTGCCCAGGTTCCTCCTCCCCACTCCAGCATGCCGTTCCTGCTCTCACACCTCTCATGTCATGTTCACCCACCTCTACCAGCTGCTCTGGCTCTCCCGGAGGCTCACCATCCGTGGCTGTCCAGCTGCCAAATCACCCCAAAGGAGCTGGCTGCCTGGGGGATATTTCCCAGTAAATCTCCCACTGTTCCCAGTTCAGCTCCTTTGGCACTGGGAATTCCTCAGGGTCCCAGGCTGGAAGAGCTGGCAGCTGTCTCCAGCTGTGTGCTCTGTCCCTGCTCTGAGCTGAGCTAAAACCCCGAGCGGAGCATCCTCCCAGCGCTGCCTCTGCTGTGCATCCGGGACGGTGCTGGGAGGAGGATGCTGTTTGGGGCAGTTGTGATTTCAGCGCTGCTTTTTCTTCCTATAATCTTAGATTGCTTTAAAACGAGGGAAGAAAATAGCGATCCGCAGGGAGAACGCTGTGTATGGGATGGGTTCAGGCTGGGTTTCCTGTTTCTTGAGAGCCAGGAGCTCTGGGCTTTTTTGTTGTCATTGCTTCAGCTTTTGTCACCAGCCTTCATCACGGCCGTGGTTCTTCCTACACCGTTCCCTAGAAATAACGCCCGAAAGCAGACGCAAAAGAGTTCAAGTGAAATTCTGTCTCGTTTCTTTCCTACGCTGTGACCTGTGGAGTCAACCGGTTGGGGGGAGAACTGAATTCTCCGGCAGGAGCTGTGGTTTCCCTGCCTGCTCCTCGGTGCTGTTGCTATTTCTGAACGCTCCCTCTGGAGCTGGCTGGCCACGTTTCATTTCTTTCGTGAACGAGATTGCGATCAATTGAAAAGGTCCTTGGGTTGGAGTAGCAGAAAGCCACCTAGCAGCACAAAGAATAGAAAATAAATGAACCCAAAGAATAGAAAATAAATGAACCCAAAGAATAGAAAATAAATGAACCCAAGTGGAATCGTGTTTCCAGGCTTCCCAGGGAGGTGAGCAGTGAATTAACAGTTGCCACCAGGCAGTCCCAGGTTTTGCCCTGGACACCAGTTAGAGGAGCGTTTGCTCCCACCAGTGCAGCACATCAACCTCAAACTCAGCTCTGAGCTTCCCACCCCCTGCATGGGAGCGGGAGGGCAGAATAAATTACATCTAGTAAGACAAAGTAGAGTTTTTCCTGCTTCTCAGTTATGGAGTTTCCAAGAAAAGCATTAACTTTAGCAGCTGGAGCCATCTGCCTTAAATAAAGGAGCGCTTGGTAATTGTCCTGTCTCTTGCAATAGTACACGTTGAGATGGAAAAACTGAGGCGACGTTGAAAATCCCATTCACCGGAGCTGGGGTGAGGAATATGTTGTGCTTACAAACACCAGGCTGGGAGATCGCTGCTGCCGGACCAGACACGTTGCTCGAGCCGTGCCTTAATTCCTCCCTCACCTTTCCTGCGAGCAGGAACGGCTTGCTGGGCTCCCGCACCCGCAGGAGGATATTTTGGGAAAGATGCTGAATATTATCCCAGATGGGAAGACGATGGGATGTCATTTTATAGGAAGGAAGAGACTTGTAAAACTTTGTCAGCTCGGTTGGGTTAGCAGAGTTTAAAGAGCTGTGTTCTCTCTTGGGGCGTTTGCCTTCGTGCTTTGCGTTACTGGCAGATGCATCGCGTCCACCCGGCGTTGCTGGTGAGGGAAACCTCTCCCAGTTACGGGCTGGGAACTTCACCAGTGATCTTTGCTTTCGTGATGGAGGTACTGGAAGGATAACGGCTGGCCTGGGCCATGAGATACTTTGTCCCGCGTCCTTTCTGGCCACGTCCTCTCTTGGGGTGGGAAGAGTTCATCTCTGGCTGGTCACTTGGGCTGAACCCTCTTTCCACGTGAGTGTGAAGCCTCAGAAATGTTCTTATCATTTCTCAGGCTTTGCTCTCCCTGGTTTGTAAATACCATGCTCCCAAAGTTTTTTCCTGCTCTCCGCAGCTGGGTGATGGGCTGGAATCAGGGTTTCTGCTGGTCCGGGCTGTGAGTGCCCCCTTCCCACATCCCCACCAGCCCCGCTCCCCCCAAACTGTAGCTTTCCACCCTGAGCTAGCTGATGCTCTGCTTCTGCACAGTGGTGGGAGGCGAAATGATTTGCAGATGGATCTCGCTTGAAAGAAAACAACTGAGTTCATCCTTGTCCCGGTGCCAGGGTTTTATTCTTGAATGTAACTTAGGCTCTGCAGTCGACAGCAGGATTTATGTTAGGAAACAAAACAAATCTCCATGTTGTTTCCATGTTCTTGTTCATTCTTCAAAGTGATTTTATATAGGCAGCGCTTGTTCTCTCCTCCTCCCAGCTCCTGGTCTGGTTGGGAAAGCAGAGTGGGATTAAATGCATTTTGCTGATGGGAAGAGGGGAGGTGTGTGACAGAGAGATGGACCCGATGCCTCCTTGAGGCGTCACAGCTCCGTGATCTGTCACAGGAGTGGATGGAGTTCAGCAGTTCCAGGATAGTTGGTCCAATGTCGGTCCAAACAGCATCTCCCAGCTCAACCAGTTTGCTCAGAAATCTGCTCAGAGGTGTCGGGCAGTTAATCCCGTCTGTGCTTGTAGGAGGAATCCTCACGGTTTGGGTTCTGCCGAGCACAGCCAGGATCCCAGGGGCTTTGGCAGGAGGTGGCAGGTCCGGTTTCTCCTCTGCCAAACGTCTTTACTCCAGTAAGCGCTTGGAGAATTTCTCCAGGGTAGAAACTTTATGCTCACAGCCCAGAAGAAGAGCTCAGCAGCTTCTGTGGTGTTAGGGGTGACTTTTCCCGGCATGGATGTGTGTAATGGTTTGTTTTCTGCTCCCCGAGTCCTCTCAGGAGCATCCTTACCCAGCAAGGGTCCTTCAGCCACCTCCCGCAGCCCTCGGGTTTAACCTCTGCCTTTGTTTAAAGCTGATGTGGTGAAGGTCCATCTCTCCTGGCCCGTCGACATGGTCTGGGCTCCAACTTGACCTGGAATTGGCCAAACTCCCGAGCTGAGCCAGCGCTGCTCTTGGCTTACACCAAGGCTGGTGGGAGGTGGGTTGCACTCTTTCTGTGTTAAAAAAAGTAAATAACAACAATGCCCCGAGTTTCTAGCTCTAAAGGTCATCTGCATTGTACTTTTTTTCTATATGTTCAGTCCGTGGAAATGAGCTTCTGCGGCTCTTTCTCCCCAGCCCAGCAAGAGCCGTTAATACCAACCAGATGTTAACGCCCGATGAAATTTCCAGGATGAGGTCATTGTTTGCTATTCTAAGGCATCCCCGTCATTGCTTCTCCAAGACAGGCTGTGTTTCTGGTCTGCTTCAGAGTTCGTGGAGCTCCCTGCACATGGCTGTGGAGGGCCCTCCTTCAGGTTCTCGCTTCCAGACTGGAAGGGTGCTGGGGCAAAGCTGGCTGGTGCTGGGAGGGGACGGAGCAGCGGCACGGCACGCGGCATCGCCGATGCTTTCCGCTGTGTGACGTGTGCCTGAATCTGCCCCATCGCTCTGTGGTCCACGAGAGCGGTTAACATTCCCCTGGGACCTCGGTGCTGGGCTAAGGGCAGAGGCTTCCGTGAGTTTTGGTAGATAAGTAGCATCCTGGGTAGTTTAATTAAAAAAAGAAGAAAAATCCTTAAGGTTTGGCCCAAATTGAACCAGGTATTCTAGCTGAGAAGGGGCGGGTGCTTTCTTTCTGCCTGCATCCTCCCTGGTTTTACTTTTTGTTTCTTACTATTTAAATTTTTATTCCCCCTTCCTCTTTGCCATTAATTTTCCATTGATCCAGGGTCCCGGGCAGCTCTGGTTTGGTACCTGGTGTTTTACCCACGGGCGGGCTGCCTGTCTCTGCTGGGTGGGATAGCTCCCAGCCCTGCCCCATCCTCCGGCCATTCCAGCGTTTACTCCCCATTCACGTGATGCAACGGCATCTCCATCTCCAGCCCGGCCGTATTTGGCCCGAACCTCAACCCTGAGGAATCTGCTTCCAGAAAGGATTAGCCCGTGGCTGCGAGCCTTCTGAGCCCAGACAACGGCAAAGCTCAGCGAGCAGAAGGGATGAAGATCATCCCTCGAGCACCCGCGACTCTGCAAATCATCCCCCACGGGACCACCAAAGGGCATCCGCTGGGAAAACCTTGACTTTCCCAGTTGAGTTTCAAATCACCGACCTCTGAAAGGCTCTTTGTCCCTCTACCAGCCCCGGTTCAGCCTCTCTGTCCCGCAGGGACATGCTCCAGTTCATCAGAACTGGTGATCTTCCTCCCAGCTGGTTCCACCCACCCCACCGTGCCCGTTATCCCAGCTGGTCCTCGGATCACCGGGGCTGCGTGGCAGCTGGTCCGGGAACACGGAGCAGCGCAGGGATCTCCCAAAGCCAAGATCACAGCGGGGCGTTGGCTCCTCTGTGCCTTGATTTTTTTTTTATTTTTATTTTTTTTTTCCAACTTAACATCTAAGAATTCCCTTTTGGTACTGATCTGACCCATATTTCTGTTTCATCGACCGTTTTAGCTCCGATGCAGTTATCCGACAGCCTTGCATTTAGGATGAAGCTGGATTCCTCTCTTTTCTCATTTATCACACGTGCCCCCTTCCCCCTTAGGAGTCCCTGGAGCAGCTCCAGGCGAGTCCTTCAGTTTGGGAGCAAGAAGCAGAAACCGCTGCCAACCTCCTCCGCTGCGAACATGTCAGCGGGGGAATTGCTCTTGCTCTCGGAAATTGCTTTCAGGCTCGCGGCTGTTAACACTGCAGCTCGGAATACAGAGGCTTTTCCCCAATGTGCCGTCTTCTCCCAGCGGATAGGTGCTGGCTGGTAAAGAGAAAGGTGCATTTATGGGGAGGGGTCTTTTGGGGGCTTCTCCAGCCCAAAGCCATTGGAGGTGTTTGCATGAGCCCTGTGTGTGCGTTGCCTTCTGAATGAGCTGATCTTTAGCTTAAGGAGAAAAATCTATTTATTCCCAGGTGACACCTAAACAGAGAGTCGTTGTGTGCATGGATGGATCACACCATTCAATCCTCATTTTATTTCAAGGCTTTTTTTTTTTTTTTTTTTTTTCCTTCCCCCCAGATGTAGCTCCGTCGGTGCAATTTTTTTGCATTCCTAAATTGAATTTCCCTTTTCTCTTTTCATCCTCCGAGGATGTTTGCCAGCAGAAGGAAGCAGCATTACTGGCCTTACTCGATGGACTGCAGCGGGAACGAGGCTCACGTCTCCAGCTGCAAACTGGGCAACCACCTCAACGTGGACGCGGAGAAGAACGCGACCTGCGAGAAC